GACCCCTGGCACACGGGGTTTGACCCCTGGCACACGGGGATAGACCCCTGGCACACGGGGTTTGACCCCTGGCACACGGGGATAGACCCCTGGCACACGGGGATTGACCCCTGGCACACGGGGATAGACCCCTGGCACACGGGGATTGACCCCCGGCACCGTGCCTCCTCCGCTGCCCTTGGCGTCTCTGGCTGATGGGAAAAGGTCCCCCGTGAGCCGAGTCCCCGTTCCCAGGACGGAGCTGCTTCCAGTCTCACACTCACGCTCCGAACACGGCTGACCCAGAGCCAGATTTGGGCCAGATTTGATGCAAAGCCCCGCCTGGATTGTCCCGGTTGAAGCCAAACATCCCCCGGTGGAGCGACGCCCAAACGGGGGCTGTCCTGAGAGGCTCCCGGAGGAGCAGGGATGGGCCCCTGCCCGGCAGTGCCGGCTGTTCTGGGGTGGAATTCACTGATCACGGACACGGTGGGACCCCAGCCCGGGGGTTTCCTGGGGGCGAATCCGCAGGTTCCAAACCCCGCGGTCCCGACGGATAGAGCCCCGGCCGAGGGTCCCTTCCCACGAGGCCCCGCCGGCCCCGAGGCCATGCAGGGTGAAACTTCTCTGTCTGAGCTGGAGAACGACAGGGAATTACCAGGGAACTGCTTCCCTGCGTGCACAAAGCTCAGGAACGCCAGCGGAGCAGGGCAGGGATGGTGTGTCAGCGTCTGGGGGGCGTTTTAACGGGAGGAGGTGTGACCATTCCGCGGGATGGGCCCGGCTCTGCCGGAGCTGCCGAACACCTGCTGCCCAGGGGAAGAAGGGAATGAATTCCTGGGTTTGCTTTGCTTGTGTGCAGAGCTTTTCCTTTCCCTACTAAACTGTCTTTATCTCAGCCCACGGGTTTTCCAGCTTTTCCCTCCCCGACTCCCTCCGGGGCTTGGGGGCTGCCTGGGGTGAAACCAGGACAACCTGATGGAGAAGGATTTGGGGGGAAAGCTCCTTTAATTCTCTTTCCCTTGTGACTGTTGCTGTACAACGATGAGGTGGCACCTGGTGGTGACAGAGATGCTCCTTCCCTTCGCCCAGGGCTGGGACAGCCACCGTGTCACCTTCTGGTGGTGCCCGTGGAGGGGGGTGGGATGAGGTCATCTTGTGGTTTTTTCCAAGCCAGACCAGTCTGGAATTCCGTGATTCCATGATTCCCTTTGTGACTGTTATGGTTGTTGGGTGATGGATCAGGTTGTTGGGTGGCTTCGCCACCGTCAGAGGCTGGATTTGGGTGGGCAGCAGAACGTGCCCTCAGAGCCTCCTGGTGTCACCCTCGTGTGGGGTAAGTGCTGCTCAGCACCCCAAATTATGGCCTGTAGCCTTGGGATGGTTCCCACGCCCCAGGGCTCGGGTTCAGCCAGGGAAGGAGCCCAGGTAATTACCCTGGGCCTCGTAATCACACCCAGTTTACCCGGCACAAACAGCAGCAGCTCCTCCCCTGGGCCTCGAATAATGAACCCCCAAATTAGAAAGGACATTGTGGGTGCCCCGGGGCTCTGGCACCTCACGCTGGGTGTTGATGGCAGGGGTTGCCAAAGGTACAACAATGGAAGTGGTGCTGGTTTTCCCCAGTTTAGGGGATGATGGTTGGCTGGGCACCCCCCATGGCCCAGAAGACACATCTGGCAGTGCAGATCAGCCCCTTTGGGCCAGTCCAGCTAAGCCATTGAGGAGGCTCTGGAGCTCTGCCAACCCCCAGCACTCGCTTGGCCAACACTGGGATGGCCCCAGGCAGAGCTGGTGGCCCAACATGTCCAGCCCCAGGTGACACTGCCTTGGTGGCACCAAGGGCTGTGAGATCCCACCCCCACGGTGGGCAGGGGCCACGGCACAGCCTGGGCTGCCAGGTCTCAGTCTGAAAACTGAACAGTCCTACAGGGCATGGGTGTGGGGACTCTGCTGGCCTGGAGATGTCTGTGTCCTGATCAGTGTGTCCTGATCTGTGTGTCCTGATCAATGTGTTCTGATCAATGTGTCCTGATCAGTGTGTTCTGATCAGTGTGTCCTGATCAATGTGTTCTGATCAATGTGTCCTGATCAGTGTGTCCTGATCAATGTGTCCTGATCTGTGTGTCCTGATCAATGTGTCCTGATCTGTGTGTCCTGATCAATGTGTTCCGATCTGTGTGTCCTGATCTGTGTGTCCTGATCAATGTGTTCTGATCTGTGTGTCCTGATCTGTGTGTTCTGATCTGTGTGTCCTGATCAATGTGTCCTGATCAGTGTGTCCTGATCTGTGTGTTCTGAT